GTGTGTGTGTGTGTGTGTGTGTGTGTGTGTGTGTGTGTGTGTGTGTGTGCTCGTGCCATGTGCATTCAGGAGCACATGGAACTTAGAAGATCCCCTGGAACTGGAATTACAGATGGTTGTGAACTGCCACGTGGATGGTGGGAATTGAACCCATGTCCTCTGCAAGACCAGTAAACGCTTTTAACCACTGAGCCATTTTTCCAGCCCCGCCTCAACTTCTTACTGGGAGATGGATCCAAACCAAAACTGACGACATGGTCTCTGGAGGCGCAGATTTCCCACCTCCAAGCCCCTCCCTCGTGTCTCTTTCATATTGGCCCTGCATCATCCCCCACCACCTCCTGGTGCTCCAGCACTCCACATCCTACCCAGAGGTGCCCACACCAGGGAGTGCCATATCCTCCTGACCCCTCCACCTCCATCAGCACTACAAACAGAGGCGCAGCACCAAAACCGGTGTGCACACCTTCCGGCCCTCCAGCTCTGAGAACAACTGATTTCAGACTCAGTTTTACCGGGTGCATCTATGGTGCTATCTGAGTCCCGCCCTGACCTCTGTGGTATGACATCCATGGTGTGTCTTGTGTCAGGACATGTATGTGTGGCACTCATACTGTGTACAACCACATGAGGTATGTGTGTAAGAGACAGCCCACATGATGTCTATGGTGAGCATCTGTGATATAGCCATTGTGACATGCATGTCACGTATGGAACTTCTATAGAGGAGCAATCACAGGTCCTAACAGGCACAGCCGGGAGACAGGATGCCTGTGCTAGCCGGAAGCCGTGACTACCCCAACAGCTACAGGTACCTGCATTCTGCCACCACCTGTGAACTGTAGCATGACACAAGTACCAACTGCAGCACCAGGCCACTGGCCTGCATGAGATGCGACATGTGCACACACAAACCACTGGAAGACTGTCTCAGAACACACAGAGACATGGGCATCAGGGTGGGATCCCAGAATAGCTACAGCACAAGGAACATACATGACACAGTCACACAAGTCCCTGCAAGAACATGCATGCTGGCTTAATTCCCAGCACATCACCCTCAGGCACAGTACCGGCAGCCCTGGCCTAGCACACTGTCCTCAGGCTTTGCACACACAGATCCTTCCTTGTACTCCCTTCTCCTACCACCTTCAGCACACCAACTTCACTTCTACAGCTGCCCTCAGCCTACCCAACACAGCACCCCGCTGGTGTGCTAGCCTCTTTCACCCAGTGACCATGGGTGTCCATCTTATGATGAAATCACACCAGGTCCCTCACCCCCAACCATCTTGGTAATCTGGCACAGACATGCGCTGACAACTAAGAGGGTAGTCAAAGTAGAATGTGACAGTGGCCTACTGTGCAGACCAGTTGGTCCAGGGCTGATCTTGAACTCCGAGTCTTCCCCACCTCCACCATGCAATTCATGGGACCTTTTCCCAAGGCAGGCTGCAGATGCCCCATAGAGGAAAGAGACCAGGCAGGTGGAGTGCCTCCATGGCAAGTGTGGGAGAGCCAGGCCTCGGGGCACAGAGGACATGCTGGACCTAGGGAAGGCATCCCCTTCCTGCCCAACCACATTCCATCCCTCCCAGTACCAGCTCTCTCAGTGTTCACTCCATGCCCAAGAATTCTGGCCGTGGGAGGAAGGCCCCAGCCTCAGTCAGGGTGTGCACTAGATCAGCCACAGTGTGAGTCCTGGTGGTTCTGTTCTTTTGCCCCAAAATGTCATGTTCCAGAAAGTACTTGCTTCTTTGACCTAGACTCCAGAAAAGAGTCCAAAACACTATGGTAGACACAGAAATCAGTAAGAACAAGGCTGGGCTGTTGTTTTTCTGCAAAGCTTGTTGTCACACTTAGCCCTGGCAAAGCTATGAAACCGATGTCATCAAAATGCTAGTCCTGGATGTAATGATATATTTAGAAAAAAAAAATATATATGACAATAATTAAGGAAATAAAGGCAATATTGGAGGGAGGAAAAGGAAGCAGGAAAAGATATAATTTTATTTTGGTCTCAAAAATAAAAATGTATGTTTTAATTCTGGTCCTGAGCTAGGGGTAAAGGTCAGTTGGTAGAGCACTTGTATAGCGTGCTGGAAGCCTTGGAGCTGATGTCCAATACAGAATAAACCAGATATGGTTGTACGTACCTGTAATCCCAACACTCCAAAGGCAGAAAGATCACAAGTTTGAGGTCATTATTGCCTACATAGCAAATTAGAGACCAACCTTCTCTTTAACTATCATCATCATCATCATTACCATCATCATCCTAATGTTCCACTTGAACCTGATACCAACACCGTGTTAGATTTTGTTTCAGAGTTTGAGAGAAAAGTATCTGAGGTTCTCCAGAGAAGCACAGCTAGTAGGAAGCAATGGATAGAGGACAGATGAACATAAGCGACAGACGACAGTAAGGATAATAGGTCGGTAGGCGACAGAGGATGACACATAATAGACATAGAATTTGTATGGCTCACCTTGATTGGGTTAAGTGATGGAATGCCGGAGGCGGTGTCTGTGAAGGA